CAGTGATGATGCGTGTACCACTCTTGAGAGCATGAAAGAATATATCTCTACCAACATGGCATAGGAGTGCCTTGCCAATATTATGGTTGGAAAGATAGACAGTAGAGGAAGTTGGTTATAAATTAAAAAAAAACTTTGTCCCTTGTGTATTTTGAAACTGTGTGGAAAGGGAGTGCGTGATGTGCCAGTTTTTTCTGAGTAGAACGAGAAGGAAACAAAGAAATATCATCAGGCATTGTTGTGGGCGTTTAGGTGTGGGACTGGAGTTGGTCTGACATGGGACGGGCGGAAGATTTGAAAATTGCTGCACCATTGAGAGAGAAGCTGGAAACAGTCAAAGAAGAGCAGAGGTCAGACAAATCAAAGGTGTCAGTCAAAACCTGGGTACCTGAAGCGGGCAACAAAACGACACCAGCAAGAGGCACAGGAGCATTAGAAGTGTCCGAAGAGTGGTCAAAAAACTAGGCAGGGTCAGAATAGGGTGCGGTATCAGGAAGGGGCCCAGGGGGAGCAGGTTCAGGGATTTGGGATTCCATGGTTAGGTCACTTCTTTCTGTTTGTTTTTTAGAAAAAGGAAAAAAAAAGAAAAAAAAAAGGTGGGAACATGGAGGAATAGCTCCTAGGAGGCAAAAAGGGCTGTAAATCCCCCTCTGCACCCAAGAGGACCCCAGCACTGCAAGCAGTGCAGATGCAGCATGGAACCCGTGCCATACCCAACCCTTCATGCCAGTAAACCAACAATCCGGGATAGCAACCTCACATCCACCAAGCCACCTCGATGAACAAAAGAGAGGGCAGCCAGACACCCGCCACAGAGCATACCTCCTGCGGCCACCACCCCCTGGAATCCAAAAAGCAGCCTCCAGAGATACACGTCACCGGAAAGACACCCCCCCCCCCCCCCGGAGACAGGAGAGGGATTGGGACATCCCCAGGTGATCCAGATTCCATGGTAAACTACACCACCACCAAGGACCTCAATAGAATGGGATGGACCCTGGTACCCTTCCCCCTCCTAGGAAGTAGAATGGCTGTGGGAAGAATCCCAAAGGCTGAAAATAGGAAGGGAATAGCGGAGGGATGGGGAGGAGAAGGAAAGGGGAAAAAGGGAGGATGGAATAGGGAAGGGGGGATTGGGGGGTTATTTGGTTGGTCTGAGGAAGGATACCAAAAGGTCTAATTCCTCAGACCAAGAGCCTCTTCACAGCGCGAAGGAGCCCCCCTTGAAGAGGTGCCGCACCATAGAGGGAGAAGCCAGAAGTATAGTCAAAGAAGAGCAGAGGTCAGATGTATGGAAGGAGTCAGCCAAAGCCTGGTTACCTGAAGCAGGCGACAAAATGGCACCAGCAAGAGGTACAGGGGCATTAGAAGTGCCCAAAGAGTGGTCAAAACCAAGGCAGGGTCAGAACAGGGTGCAATATCAGAAAGGGGCCCCAGGGGGAGCAGGCTCATGGGTTGGGTACTCCATGGTTAGGTCACTCCTTTTCCTTCTGTCTTTTAGAAAAAAAGAAAAAAGGAAAAAAAAAAGAATAAAAAAGGGGGGCAACGTGGAGGAATAGCTCCTTGGAAGAATGAAAGGGCTGTAAATCTCCCGCCACACCCAAGAGGACCTCAGCACCGCAAGTAGTGCAGATGCGGCATGGAACCCGTGCCATACCCTACCCTTAATGCCAGTAAACCAGCAATCCGGGATAGCAACCTCACATCTGCCGAGCCACCTCCCCTTCGGCCACTGCCCCCTGGTAGCATCCAGAGATACACCTGTCACCCAAAAGACACCCAAAGCCACCCCCCACGGGAGACAGGAGAGCGCCTGGGACATCCATGGCAAACTACACCGCTGCCAAGGACCTCAATGGAATGGATGGACCCCGGTACCCTTTCCCCTACCTAGGAACTCAAGTGTCTGTGGGAAGAATCCCAAAGGCTGAAATAGGGAGGGAATAGGGAAGAGATAAGGAGGAGAAAATGGAAAAAAGGGGGGATGGGATAGGGAGGGGGGATTGGGGGTAATTAGGTTTGGTCTGAGGAAGGAAATCAAAAGGTCTAATTCCTCAGACCAAGATCCTCTTCACTGCACCAAGGAGCCCCCCTTGAAGAGGCGATCATCGATGAACTGTCGTCAGTAGGTTGTTTTGGATGTTCAGTAGTACCACAGGTGGTCTGATCTGAGGGAGGTGGGTGATCCAAAAACCATCGCACCATATCCGGGGAAGCCGGACGCATTGTGAAAAGTGTGCGAGGAGCAGTATGAACATAAACGGGTGATGCCGCAGCACCTGAAGCAGGTGACGAAGCGTCACTGGGGGTATGAGAAGAGTCAAGAGAATGGGCTGATAACGAAGCCAGGTCAGAACAGGGTGTGGATCTGAAAGGGGTCTGGGAGTAGGAAGGGTTTCACTGGGCGAAGAGGCCATAATAAAGATGCTTCTTCTGTGATATCTCCTTTCTTGCTATTTTATGAAAAAAAATAAAGGAAAGAAAAAAAGAGGGACAGTGGAGAGACAGTTGCTAGGAGACATGGAGGGGCCAAAAGCTCCTCCCCTCATCTGAGAGGGCCTTCAGCCCACTGGTAGTGAATTATTATTATTATTATAAAAAAGAAGTGCTAAATCACAAAGGTTACTGGTAGTGAAGATGCAGCATGGAACCTGTGCCATACCCTACCCTTCACACCAGTAAACCAGCGCTCTGAGATAGCAGCCTCACATCTACCGAGCTACCTCAGTGGACAAAAGAAAGGGCGGTCGGAGACCTGCCACAAAGCATACTTCCTTCAGCTGCCACCTCCCAGAATTGACAGGAAGCTTTCAGAGATACACCAATTACCCAAAGGGCACCTCGCCCACTTCCCAGAAATCCGGGAAGAGAGCAGGACATTTTCGGAGAATTCAGATTCCGTGGCAAACCACACCACCCTCAAGGGACCCTGTAGAGTGGTATGAACCCCGGCACACCGTCCCCTACCTAGAAACTGTAATGCCAGAGGGGAGGACCCCAGAGGCAACAAACGGGACAGGAAACAAGGAGAGGGTGGGGAGAGGGGAGGAAAGGGGAAAAAAAGGGGGATGGGGAGGATGGGATAGGGAAGGGAGGACTGGGAGGTATTTAGACTCAGTCTAAAAAGACCATAGGATTTGATTCCTGAGACTAACAGCCTCTCTGCCACGTCAAGGAGTCCCCCTTGAAGAGGGGAACATGTCCCATGACTCTATGTATATATATATATATTATATATATATATATATATATATATATATATATATATATATACATATATGTAGGTAGTAGGTGGTAGACAGCAACCGCCCAGGGAGGTACTACCGTCCTGCCAAGTGAGTGTAAAACGAAAGCCTGTAAATTGTTTTACATGATGGTAGGATTGCTGGTGTCTTTTGTCTGTCTCATAAATATGCAAGATTACAGGTAGTCTGCTATCTTCTACTTACACTTAGGTCAACATACACATACATGTACAAGCATATATATACACACCCCTCTGGGTTTTCTTCTATTTTCTTTCTAATTTCTTGTTCTTGTTTATTTCCTCTTATCTCCATGGGGAAGTGGAACAGAATTCTTCCTCTGTAAGCCATGTGTGTCGTAAGAGGCGACTAAAATGCCGGAGCAAGGGGCTAGTAACCCTTCTCCTGTATATATTACTAAATTTAAAGGAGAAGCTTCAGTTTTTTCTTTTGTGGCCACCCCACTCATGGGATACGGCTGGTACGTTGAAAGAAATATATATATATATATATATATATATATTATATATATATATATAATATATATATATATATACATATATATATATAGAAAAATAGTAATAAACATTTTTTTTATTGTTGGTTTGTGTAAACATGTTTTGTAAACAATATATGACAGCAAAGTTTGTGCAGTTATTGTGTAGTATGCAATGAATGAATATATACCAAATACTCTTTATATTGGTCTCACAGGCCATAAAAGTTATTTGAAAAAATAAAACATTAAAAAATAAAAGAAAAAATAGAAAAAAAAAAAAACTATTACCGGGTGACTGGCAGTCAGCGATGTTGCCGTAAGCGATTCAATTTCTGTCAACTTCACGCCTCCATACCTCGGTAAATATTGATTGCAATTTTTTTGGGCCTATAACAGTCACAAAAAAAATCTATCATTTCATAAGAATTTTTTTTTTTCGAATATTTTTTGACCCTGAGTGGGAGTTAAGGATCGAGGGTCTCGACTCTGAAAGGGTTAAATGAAATATTTATCCAACGTGGCATAGGTGTTGCCTTGCTGATTATTATATTACAATCAAAAAGAAGTGCTAAACCACAAGGACCTTGCTGATACTACGGTCTAAAATTTCTCCAAAAAGGGTGTTTTTGTGTTTCTGTTGTTTATTATGTAGTATACTCCCACTAACTTCTGTCAGGAAGACCCAAAGTTACTTCCCTACTTTAACCCGTAAATGGTCCAAGCAGATCTACGTTGACATGTGTACTGCTACAAAAGTAGATCTACTTTTTTTTTACATATTTTCAAATATAACAAAAAAAAAAAGTAGATCGAAGTTTTTTTACACATTTTCAAATGTAACAAAAAAAAAAGTAGATCAAAGTTTTTTTACACATTTTCAAATGTAAAAAAACAAGAAGATCTACTTTTTTTACATACTTTCAAATGTTGAAAAAACGTATATATACGTTTGGACCGTTTACGGGTTAATATAAGTTTTTGAAGAGGAACAAATATTAGCGCATGACACATGACACCACCTCTGGCAAAACTTTCTCTCTATTATGACTTCTCAAGTGGCTTTCTAAATGTAATCTTATAGAAAAGTCTCTCAGACATTTTGAACACTGATATGGTCTCTTCCCAGTGTGAGTTTTCATATGTCTTACTAAATGTGAATTTCTAGAAAAATCTTTCTGACATTCTGAACAGTGATATGGCTTCTCTCCAGTATGAGTTCTCATGTGACTTACTAACTGTGATTTTCTAGAAAAATCTTTCCGACATTCTGAACAGTGATATGGCTTCTCTCCCGTGTGAGTTCTCATGTGACTTACTAACTGTGATTTTCTAGAAAAATCTTTCAGACATTCTGAACACTGATATGGCTTCTCTCCAGTATGAGTTCTCATGTGAGTTACTAAACTTGATTTTAGAGAAAAGTGATTCAGACATTCTGAACACTGATATGGCTTCTCTCCAGTATGAGTTCTCATGTGACATACTAAGCTTGATTTTTGAGAAAAGTCTTTCAGACATTCTGAACAGTGATATGGCTTCTCTCCAGTATGAGTTCTCATGTGACTTTCTAAATGTAATCTTTCAGAAAAGTATTTCATACAGTTTGAACACTGATATGGCCTCTTCCCAGTATGAGTTTTCATGTGTTTTACTAACTGTGAATTACTAGAAAAGTCTTTTAAACATTCTGAACACTGATATGGCTTCTCTCCAGTATGAGTTCTCATGTGAAGTACTAAGTTTGATTTTCCAGAGAAGTTTTTCAGACATTTTGAACACTGATATGGCTTCTCTCCAGTATGAGTTCTCATGTGTCTTACTAAGTTTGATTTCCCAGAAAAGTTTTTCAGACATTCTGAACACTGAAATGGCTTCTCTCCAGTATGAGTTCTCATGTGACTTACTAAACTTAATTTTAGAGAAAAGTTTTTCAGGCATTCTGAACACTGATATGGCTTCTCTCCAGTATGAGTTCTCATGTGACGTACTAAGATTGATTTTCCAGAAAAGTTTTTTAGACATTCTGAACATTGATATGGATTCTCTCCAGTATGAGTTCTCATGTGAATGACTAAATTATATTTTTCAGAAAACTCTTTCAGACACATTGAACACTGAACTGTTTTTTTGCCCATGATAAACCTGGTCTGATATCCACACTGAGATTGTTGTGAAGATTGTTTGAGTGAGTGTGAATGTTGATATAATTGGTCTCCTACATGAACAACTGTACATTGTGTTGCCTCAACACACTGTTTTTCAAGTATTTTAGACACAGTGAACAATAAGTTATCACATATATAAATCGTTTAACCGGTGGAGATTTGAGAATTTTTTATTACACAAAAAACTAATATTTTTGTATTAATCTATGACAAATAGAGCAAGCACTAAATGTGTACGGGTAAGTGTGTCTGAGGAATAGCATGCCATTAGCAGATGTTTATGACACATTAACCTTATGACACTGTTGTTGGCACTTTGTTGTTGTACTACACTGTAGTTACAGTGTTCTCACTGTATATATACTGTAATTAGTGTTGTCACCACATTAACACTAGTTAGTGTCATTGTATTAACACTGTAGCATTGTCACTATTATTTACACTGTAGTTAGTGTTGTCACTGTATTAACACTGTAGTTAGTGTTGTCACTATATATACATTATAATATTTACAGAACTTAAAGAAGTTTCTGACACTGATGTTGGTACTACAAGTATCACCACCTTGTACCAGGATGACCTGCAGTACTGACACTACAAGTACCACCTTCTTGTACCAGGAAGACCTGCAGTATTGACAATACAAGTACCACCTTCTTGTACCAGGATGACCTGCAGTATTGACACTACAAGAGCCACCTTCTTGTACCAGGATGACCTGCAGTATTGACACTACAAGTGCCACCTTCTTGTACCAGGATGACCTGCAGTACTGACACTACAAGTCCCACCTTCTTGTACCAGAATGACCTACAGTACTGACACTACAAGTACCACCATGTACCAGGATGATCTGCAGTGCTGACACTACAAGTGTCATCCTCTGCTATCAAGATGACCTGAAAAATAAAATTGAAAATTTATAATCTTATTTTATAATCATAATTATAACTAATTAAAATTATTAGAATTATTATTATTTTAAACACACTAGCCATCTGCCACTGAGGTAAGGTGAGTCAATAAACAAGAAACACTTTCTTCATCACTGCCTTGCAAGAGAAGGACTGATATTACACTTCAAATGTCCATCAAAACTGTAAATATCCCCACTCATCCTTCAGAGTGCAGGCACTGTACTTCCCACCACCAATCATCCTTCAGAGTGCAGGCACTGTACTTCCCACCACCACTCATCCGTCAGAGTGTAGGCACTGTATTTCCCACCACCACTCATCCTTCAGAGTGCAGGCACTATACTTCCAACCACCAATCATCCTTCAGAGTGCAGGTACTGTACATCCCATCACCACTTATCCTTCAGAGTGCAGGCACTGTACTTCCCACCACCTCTCATCCTTCAGATGGCAGGCACTGTACTTCCAACCACCAGTCATCATTCAGAGTGCAGGCACTGTACATCCCACCACCATGCATCCTTCAGAGTGCAGGCACTGTACATCCTGCCACCATGCATCCTTCAGAATGCAGGCACTGTACATCCCAACCCCACTCATCCTTCAGAGTGCAGGCACTGTACTTTCCACCACCAATCATCCTTCAGAGTGCAGGCACTGTACTTCCCACCAACACACATCCTTCAGATTGCAGGCACTGTACATCCCACCACCACTCATCTTTCAGAGTGTAGGTACTGTACTTACCACCAACACACATACCTCAGAGTGCAGGCACTGTACTTCCCACCACCAATCATCTCTCAGAGTGCAGACACTGTACTTCCAATCACCATTCATCCTTCAGAGTGCAGGCACTGTACTTCCCACCAACACTCATCCTTCAGAGTGCAGGCACTGTACATCCAACTGCCACTCATCCTTTAGAGTGCAGGCACTGTACTTCCCACCAACACTCATCCATCAGAGTGCAGACACTGTACATCCCACCAACACACATCCTTCAGATTGCAGGCACTGTACATCCCACCACCACTCATCTTTCAGAGTGTAGGTACTGTACTTCCCACCAACACACATACCTCAGAGTGCAGGCACAGTACTTCCCACCACCAATCATCTCTCAGAGTGCAGGCACTGTACTTCCCACCACTGCTCATCCTTCAGAGTGCATGCACTGTACATCCAGCCACCACTCATCCTTTAGAGTGCAGGCACTGTACTTCCCACCACTGCTCATCCTTCAGAGTGCAGGCACTGTACATCCAACTGCCACTCATCCTTCAGAGTCCAGACACTGTACATCCCACCACTACTCATCCTTCAGAGTGCAGGCACTGTACATCCCACCACCACTCATCCTTCAGAGTGCAGGCACTGTACATCCCACAACCACTGATGCTTCAGAGTGAAGGCACTGTACTTCCCACCACCACTCATCCTTCAGAGTGCAGGTACTGTACATCTCATCACTCCTTATCCTTCAGAGTGCAGGCACTGTACATCCCACCACCACTCATCCTTCAGAGTGTAGGCACTGTACATCCCACAACCACTGATGCTTCAGAGTGAAGGCACTGTACTTCCCACCACCACTCATCCTTCAGAGTGCAGGCACTGTACATCCCACCACCACTCATCCTTCAGAGTGTAGGCACTGTACATCCCACAACCACTGATGCTTCAGAGTGAAGGCACTGTACTTCCCACCACTACTCCACCTTCAGATTGCAGGCAATGTACATTCCACCACCACTCATCCCTCAGAGTGCAGGCACTGCATATTCCACCACCTCTCATCCTTCAGATGGCAGGCACTGTACTTCCCACCACCAGTCATCGTTCAGAGTGCAGGCACTGTACATCCCACCACCATGCATCCTTCAGAGTGCAGGCACTGTACATCCCACCCCCACTCATCCTTCAGAGTGCAGGCACTGTACTTTCCACCACCACTCATCCTTCAGAGTGTAGGCACTGTACTTCCCACTCCCACTCCTGCTTCAGAGTGCAGGCACTGTATATCCCACCACCACTCATCCTTCAGAGTGCAGGCACTAGTACTTCCCACCACCACTCATCCTTCAGAGTGTAGGCACTGTACTTCCCACTCCCACTCCTGCTACAGAGTGCAGGCACTGTATATCCCACCACCACTCATCCTTCAGAGTGCAGGCACTGTACTTCCCACCACCACTCATCCTTCAGTTTGTAGGCACTGTACTTCCCACTCCCACTCCTGCTTCAGGGTGCAGGCACTGTACTTCCCACCACCACTCATCCTTCAGAGTGGAGGCACTGTACTTCTGACCACCACTCATCCTTCAGAGTGCAACATGTGCAATGACAATGTTGTGTCCCATTTTAGGGAAATCTTAAAGACATGCTAGAAACAGAGCTTTCTGGACAGGTATTTCGTGTGACAGTGGTCCAGTGACTCTCAAGCTGGTCCTAGTAGCATTAAAGAACAAAGAAGGGAAGTAACCCCAAAAAGGACTTGTTACCTGAAGTCTTTATGGAAGGGGATTCCCCTTTCAAAGAATAGTACACCTCGCTGGCCAACGGCAGCGACGGTGGTGGCAAGCAGCTAGAACTTTGTCCTCTATTTTTACCTGTACCTGAAGTTCCCAGCAGTCTTGTGATGTCCTAATTGAGACCCGCAAACACTAACATATGTGGATACCCAGAATGATATAAATCAACTGCAGAAACCAACCAAAAATATGCAAATTGTCAACTAACAGGACTCGTGTTACCACCTCCTGCCCCGCTGCCACTGAAGTGATACTCCACAACACTCACACATTACCCATTGCCTACTATTCAACTGAAGCCACTGTCAATGGCCAAGTGTCAGAACAACAAAAGAAGATCCAGTAACCAGCCAAGAACTCCTAACATTGAATGCAAGAGCAGTAATACTGCAAGGAAAACTTCTCATACTGCCAGCCAGGACACAACCCTCAGTACCCACCTACATCACCATAACACTCGACAGACAAAAACAAATATGGCCACCACCACAGTCCAAGATAACTCCTTCCATGGATTTGATGTTAAGAAAATTACTGATCCAGAAATAGTTAAACTCCTTATGATGCAGAACCAAATAATCAGCAAGCTAACTCAGGAAATACAGGAGCTTAAAACCTCCAACACACAGTACCTCAGCAAGATCACTACTCTAGAACATAAACTAGACACTGGAACAACAAAGCAACACCCACACCCAGGCTGTGGACACCATCAACACTCTAAAAGATCAAGTCACCCAGCTTACTACCAACAACATAGAAGAAAGATCAGGAGTGGATCTACAACTTGCCGATGTCATCACCAACTTCCAGGACCATAATGACCAACAACAGCTATGTGATGCTGTTGTAGTTAATAGCTAACATCTTCCATCTACAGTCACCCAAGAGACTTAGACCACCCTACAGCTTATCAAAGACTACCTTCGCCTCAACATATGTAGTGATGAACTAAAAGATTGCAAACTGATGGGCTACCAAGCGGGTAAAAAACAGTGCTATTAAAATTCAAAATCAGCCTACAAAGAAATAACCTATTAAAAACATCCATTTCTATGAAATCTGATGTATACGTCAATGAGTCTTACCAAAACTAAACCTCCTTTATACGTCATGCCCAAAAAATCCATCAGTACTTTGTGAAGGCCAGAAAAATTGCAGTTAGGAAACAGCCCATTGGTAAGAGATACTTCATATCTGAGTTAACAGAATCAGAGCAAAGTGCACATTATACCCACCATCCACAATTAGTGTTATGAATCATCCTGTAACAGTTATATACAGTGGACCCTTGCATAATGCTATTAATCCGTTCCTGAGAGCTCAATGTTAGGCAAAATTATCGTTAGGCAAATTAATTTTCCCCATAAGAAATAATGGAAATCAAATTAATCCGTGCAAGATACCCAAAAGTATGAAAAAAAAAAAATTTCCACGTGAAATATTAATTTTAATACACACAAACTGAAGAAGGAATGCACAGTTAATGCACACTTCCTTTATTGAAGATTGGTTGAGGGATTGATGGGATGGGGAGGGGGGAGGAGTTTTTGATGGTCTTAGTGTTTAGAAGGGGAATCCCCTTCCATTAGGATTGAGGTGTCAAGTCCTTTTCCGGGGTTACTTCCCCTCTTCTTTTAATGCCACTAGGACCAGCACTTGAGAGTCCCCTGGACTTCTGTCGCCCCAACATATCTGTCCCTGAGGTCTGTACCTCTCGTTCCTTTTGACTTTCCTAAAGTGGTTCACAAAAACTGTCAGTGTACAGTTGCCAACACGGCTTGCAACAGCTGTCTGAGGGCGATTTTCACCCATAAAGGTTTTTGCCCCTTCAAGCCGCTTTGCACAGATTTCCTTAATCTTTGAAGTGGCAAACTTCTTCAATTTTCTCTCTCCCCTCCTCCGAAGCAGTTTCCTCAGGTGTGGCCTCTTGCTGTTGAAAATGATTAGCAGCTCATCAGTGGTTAGTTCTTCATTGTCCTCCCCCACCAACTTTTCCAAAATCCTCCCCAAATAACCTCCAACCCCAAGGACTTCCCAATGCCACACTGATTCCTCAACTGGCATACGCCTCAGGTTAGCCTCAAATCCTTCAAAATCCCTTTTGTCTACACATTCTAGCCACAGTTTCTTCCAAGCAGAGTTCAAGGTCCTCTTAGTCACTCCCTCCCAAGCCTTACCTACAAGGTTTACACAATTGAGGATATTAAAGTGATCTCTCCAAAACTCTCTTAGAGTCAATCGAGTTTCTGAGGTCACTACAAAGCACCTTTCAAACGGAGCTTTTGTGTACAGTTTCTTGAAGTTTGCAAGGACCTGCTGGTCCATGGGCTGCAGGAGAGGAGTGGTATTAGGAGGCAAAAACTTCACCTTAATGAAGCTCATGTCCCCACAACAAAGGCGCTCTGCCAAGTCTGTAGGATGACCAGGGGCATTGTCTAACACCAG